GGATCTAACATGCAGTGGTCACATGTTGCGAAATGACTACTCTGCAGCTTGAAGCGCAGTGTTCAGTATAGTGTAACTAAAATTGCAGTTTTACGTGTAATATGCAGTGCAGCTTGCAGAGTAAGTTATTGTTAAAATGTTGTGTAAAAGGCAGTTTTAGCTCTAGGGCACACTGCAGTTTAGCCTGGAGTATATTTCCCCGCCGAGAGCGTAATGTACGGTGCAGTGTACGATACAGACTGGAGTCACGTACACAGGGCACTGTGAAGCCCTGTTACCGTGCAGCCTAAGTGCAGTTTGAAGTGAATTGTGCAGTAGAGTTTGAGGTTCAATGTAAAATTCAGTTCGAATGAATTATGCAATGCAGTCAGCAGGGCTGTTTGACGTGTAGCTTAAAGTTATGTGTCCTTCAGTTTGCAGATATCTATATGTTATGGTTTGAGAGGTATGATACTGCACGTTTTGCGGTGCAGTGTGTATATCAGTTTTCACTGCAATGTGCAGTACAGTTTAACGTGTAGTATACAGTGCCGTTTGCATGTGTTTGAAGTGCAGTTGTAACGTAGAGTAGGTATTGTAGGTAGTGTCCTGCAATTTACAGTGAAGTGTATATGAGTATATGAGTAATGGTGCATTGTGCATTTTGGCTACAGCGTATGGCAGTGTACAGCACAGTTGAAGATTCCATTTTAGCTGCATTGAATCGTGCAGTTTGGTGTAATGACAGTGCAGCTTGCAGGGTTGTTTGAATTTTAGCGTAGAGTAAGGTTGCAGTGTGAAGTTTACACTTTGCATTACAGGATGCAGGGCAGTTTTGTGTTTCTTGAAGGGAATTGTACAGGACAAGGCGCGGTCTGAAGTAGAATGCATGATACACTTTCCATGCAGTGTACGATGGAGTTTTCGCTGCAGTGCGTGGAGTGTGCAGCGCGGTGGCTTCTTTTCATCCCTGGAAGCTATCCAGGGAAGATCGTGGAAGAAACAGATTATGACAGCTTATTTCCCATGAACTCCAAATTTAGGTGTAATACCTTCAGAACATGAATATCCACCAGGCAGCAGTATGACAATTAACTCATTGCATCAGTTTTTATTATTGTATGCATTTTTTTCTGGAGACACCTAGAACTTTAAACAGGAAAGCCATTGTGAATAAACAGCCGGAACGCTCCTGCTTCATTGCTCGTGCTTTGGAACGTAACTATAAATTGACTGATACATTACGAACTAACCACAGAAAATAAATCAAATTGTGATTGGAAATATTGGCAACATCTCTACGATTATCTCCAGAGTGGGTAGTGAATGCAGTAATTCATTCCGTATTTTTTGTTAAGAATATCTCGGCTGTCGTGTTTAACTTGCATGATTGTATTTTAATTCAGAGGATAATGTATTACGCCTGAGTTTCCATTTTGTTAGTCTGACACGTTTGTAATTAGTCTTTGTTTATCAGTTATATTTCGTAGGATCTCTAGCTGTGTCCCCGAAAGCACTGTACGATATAACTGTCAATCACCATCGTGTGATCATACGTAGCTGTTTGTAGTGCCTAACCCATTCTTTCTGTCTTTCCTCTCATCACTCTTATCACTGGACTAGCATGCGATTGCACCTAACCCTTAATTCATCGTCGAGGAGTATTTTTATACTGTCTCTTTTGTATTGTAAGTGTGTACATTTATTACATGTCTTTACCAAGTAGGTTTATCATGTTCATAGGTAGAAAGTTACATTTTATTAATATTACATGGCTTGCCCGTAAAAACAGAAAATGATTATTCGATGGATGGAAATTGCTTCGATTCTGCGATGACTTTAGCTACAGCAGTTGCGCTTCAACGCAATAAAATGTCATGAAAATTGTATTTTCGTGTTTATTTTTACTTAATGTTAGTTTGATTTGACAGTTAATTGTATATGCTATAAAATTTCTAATAAATGGCAAATACTAATAAATACGAGGGTTTCTTTTGGGAAAAACCCTCGTATTTCTGTCATTTCATTGAGGAAGTTTGTTTCCAATAAAGTTTGTTGAACTGTCATTTTTCAGAATCTAGTTAACTGAAGAATTACTGTATTTGAGCCAGTATTATTTTTCGAAATGCTTGGGAGAGGAGATATGATTTTTTGAAGGACGTGAGGATGGACGACGACGATCATGAATGAGGGTGAAAGTTATAATGAAGTTGAGATAGATGAACACAATAGCTTGTTTCGAAAGTTTTTTCATTGTGCAGGATTATTAGACCGTTGTTTCCATGTCTTTAACCGTATTTCATTTTTGAGCAATGTCATACCATTCCACTGACGTCTTGTAGTATGTTTCGATTAACTGGTCCCTTTATATGAAATAAATGGAAAAGTAAAATCCATTCAGATTCAGCTTATGCTGATATTGTATTTATGTTAATTATGTTATTAATTTATTCTTCGGTTGTTGTTGTCTCCTTTTTGCCAAATAGCATGCCTCAGGTATTTGTACTTAAAGTTTAAATCAAACTGTTGTACGTATCGCTTGGAACTTTTATGCAACCCGTCATATGGCTTTTTTAAGTCAAGGTGTCATCTCGGAAGGGCATTGGAAAGTCACTGTTTAGTGCTACGAGGAAATGGTTCTCTGGCAGCTCGACACCCAACCTGCAGTCGTTTACGTCATTGAGCGGATCTGCATTTCCGGAAAAGCTGCCACAGGTCGTTCAAGAAATGACGTTCGCGCTTGAATCGTGGGAAATGCAGATGCGTCGCTTGGCTGACCTGGCATTTATGTTTCAGTTGTACGACTTTGCGTTTCAACTCTACCACACCCTCCGAAAGGAGTTCTCGACTCAGCAGGCTTGGTTGTACTACGCCGGAGCATGCGTATGTTTTGTTAACTTTTGAGGTCTGTTATATTTTATGGAAATTCTAGGAAGCGGCTAGCTTATGCATATTCTTGCTGGGTGCTGCGGCCTTTCGGCCATATCCGTCGCATTACATGGAGGGCGCAGTTTCCACATACGCCAACACTGCGAGGTAAAGTTTCGATTCGAGTTCAGGCGATTTGCTTGGCTTGCGTAGTTCCGTCATTAGAGCTAGAGCGTCCACGAATCCAGGTTTTCTCAGAGGCTGATAACTGACGCCACGATGTGATAAGGACTTCGATAAATACGTGCTGAAATAAAAGCTTTTATATTGGCACCCAAAATCATGGATGATGAAATTCGTTACAGCTTCACAAGTTGACCCTGAATCAGAAAGGTGAAATTTTACGAACATGTTCACAACGAATCTTGCTTAGATAGATGACCCTATGGTAGATGTGATTCATAGCTTTTCTTTTCAACAATCCATTATGATCCACTTATGATCTACCATAATATAACTTAAATATAACCGTTAGGACGCTATCATCTTGTATTATGCAGTTCTTGCAAATCTAAAATTAGCCAAAAATATTACCTGTTGAAATATAAACCTCAGTTCCTTAACGGCTTGTACTTAATTTTCGTACAGTAGTGATCTCTTATAGATTGGTGAAAGTATTTCGCATTGTTGGCCTTTAAGTATTAATGCCATATGCACTAGTCTCGGTTTTGTTTATGAACAGAAATAGAGCCTTGTAATTTTCGATTTGTTTTGCTATTTTGAACGCGTTTTTAGACGACCATGGCTGGCGGCTCGTGCTGGCTTTTTTAGTTCCAGTGCGTTATGCGCACAGGGTGCTTGGGGAGACGCAGCGGATCAGCTGATCAAGATGACTTCTTCCGTAAGGATTTCTTGCGCCTTCGTTGCATTAGCTGGACTTCGTTTTAGGATGACTTAAAAAGCAGTTTGTTCCTTGAAGAAGCTGCTCGATGTTTCTACAACTGTGGTATGATTCGAAAAGCTGCGCTGCATTTCGTGCTAGCGGGACACCGGTTCAGCAAAGCGGGTTTGCGGCACTACACGGTTTATTGCTACAAAGCGGCGTCAGCGCTATACCAAGATCGAGGATGGCGCTTGGCTGAGGTGAAACATGATTTGATGCTGATAGAAAAGGTTGTTGGGTTTTCATATGAGCATTTTTCACTGCTCTGTTTGTCACACAGAACTTCGAAGTGACGCTTCCATTAGAAATTCTCGTATTTCGAAAAATGCCTCTAAAGATACGTAACCTGTTTTCAGTTTAGTCAGATGAGGCTTAATTACTCCTTTTTTACCAACCGTTTTTACTTTGAATTGACTTTTGATGAACTCTCAGATGGGTCAAAAGAAAATGCAAACGTAAGGCGTACGCACCAACTGTAAATTTTGCTCTCCCTGTCTTAACCATCCGGGGATCCTATTCGTCCCCATTACTCGCAAGTCAACGCATTGCTGCCCATCTCTCGTTGGTTGCACTTAAGTACAGCGGGTGAATTTTTTAATAGTTAATGGAAAAGATTTACACCGCCTCGGCGATTCCATCCTCCAAGTTCTAAACTGCGCAACCAAGCTGCTGTTCATTGTGCTACTGCCCTACAGAATCCGCGCTCTTCTAGAAAAGGCGGCAGTTTTCTCTTCGTCAAACAAGCCATTTCAACAAAGCAAGCAGCAGTAACAAACATGAAAGTATGTTCGCACTCTGCAGCAAACCAGTTACCGCATAACTCCGGTAATGCTAGATGCTACAGGGCATTGCAACTCCCCCTTGCTTTAAACTGGCCGCGGTTCCTTCGCATTTGACCACCTGCAGTTGACCTTACATCAGGTTTGTTCGCTACAGCCACCTCGTATTCATTAAGAGCGATTTTTTTCATAAGCTGGTACTCCATGCATGCTACCGCTTAATCATCTGGCACCGCAGATGCTCAAGTATCATGGTGCTGTGACTGCTTAAATGACTCCCCTAGGGAACTTCAAGCAAAGGAGCGGTGCAATACGCCGTGAAATCTGGTGTTGGATAAGTTATCCATTAAGTAGCGATAACGTGGAAATCATGAAGGCAATGTTGTTTTGATGCAATTGTTTATAAGATTCATTTTATTAAAGGAATTGATGTTCCTCATCGCCTGATAAAGTATGTACTTCGGTAGTTCGAGTGTGCTGATATATTTGTTCTCTCGACTCTGAATGGTTATAAATTTCAGGAGTCTATTTCTGGACAATTGATAATCCGTGACACATTAAAGTATCAAAATTTAAAAAAAAGTTTATATTTATTCGCTTCCTTCACCTAATTAATGTTTAAAAGCAAAGAGTTATTACGGCAATTACTGACAGGGTTTATTTACCAATGCGTTTCGACTCAGCACACCGGCACATCATACAGTACCGGCGAAAGGTACTGTATGATGTTAAGAAAAACAGCCACGTTGGGAATTGAGCGACAAGAAAAACTGATTCATTCACCCTTGCGAACGAGCTCCAATAAAATTAACTTGTACATCCGTTATACATGCAACTGTTGTTAGTCAGTACGTACAAGCATTATTTGATTACTTGGCCAATATTCGAATACTCTCTGTCGATCGAGATGACAAACAGAATGATTGCCTGCACGAGCTTTTTGCTTTGCTGTATGTTTTTTAGTTAAACTAAGAAACTTTGTGTAACTTTGAGTTACGGCGTTCGAATTACGGCTGCTAGAAAATATGGCTTTTCACTAGAGTTCTGAATAACATGGAAGAAAGTTGTTAGGTGAACACATTATATGGTGCAGATTAGCGTGGTTTCAACCTAAAATTTAAACTTTTTTCTGTTCAGTTTGCCTCTCTATTGCTCTCATATCCAGAAATTTCTGAATTTGATTTGTTTCAGTGAATTTTGCATTGTATTTTAAGCGAATCAGTATGTAAATGAGTAAGAAGGTAAAATCCACCATTGTTTTGAACGACGTTTATTTAAAATGTTACAACGTGCAATATTTTCCACTAAGCACTGTTGATAATCTCCAGGTAAAACAGAATAACACTGTATGGCACACAGATAAGGTAACAGTAATAGCATACACAGTATCTGTGTACGTTACTGTGTCATTATATTTTACCTGAAGGAAACCCATTCTTATACATGAAAATGGACCTCGATATCTTCTTCGTCTTCCATGGCTGCTTCTCTTTTTGAGTCGCACAGGCGGACGCGTCCGATAGTTCTTCCAGCGTTCCCGATCCTGTACCATGGTCTGAGCCTCGGCAGAAAACAACTGGAGTCTGGAAGAGACTCTTTCCATATATATATTCACCAGGTTAATCTCGGCCGTGCTTGGGCCTTCTGCCGGTCGATTTCGCAAGAAGCAGTTCTTAGCCTTACTTTCCGGAGGCATTCGCAACACATGCTCAAACCATCGTAT